ACCCTGCACCTCCAGGTGAGCCCCCTCCTCCTCCTGGCTGGGGACAGCCCCCAGGCACAAGAGAGGCTGCAGAATATAGAAATAGCTTTAAAAAAAAAACCCAAAGAAACATAAAAGGCCAGGTTGGTGCCATTTCCTGGGGCCGGACGCGCGTTGGTCACGAGGTAAGAAGGTGTCCGAGGTTGGTGTCGCTCTCTGGTCGCACCCAACGACCTCCAGAGCCACCATGGCCGGGGAAATCGTTTATGCCGATCTGAGACATCCTGGGAACGGGCCTTCCCCGGCTGAGAAATGTCCTGGTGAGTGTGTTTTGGGGGAAAAAAGGCTTATTTGGGGCCCTGGGAAGAGTTTCTGGTCTGTTACCTTTGGGGTCTGTTCGCTTCTTCATCCCCACGTTCAGGGTTTCCAGGCTCCCTTTAAAATGGGATCTGGGCTTGTCCAGGGACAAGAGAGGCTGGAAAATCTCCAGAACTGGAAGAATTTTGTTTCCCAGACCCTTCATTTGGTGGCCAAAAGGGACCCCAAGGGAGCCACCACAGCTGGGAGGGCAGGGAAGGGCCCAAGCCCCGTCCGGACCCCCGAGGAGTCGAGGGCCGGAGGGACCCACAGCCACCAACTCCCAGCTGGAAACTGAGCCCGTTTTGGGAATTCCCAGGTCCTCCCCTCTGTCCCTGGGTCCCCAAGGCTGCTCCCGAGGCTGCTGCACCCCCTGAGCCCCCCAAATTCCCCCCGGGGGTGCTCGAGCCCTGTCAGGGGGGGATTTATGGCTTCGGAGGAAGCAAAGCAACCAGAAACTTCTGCTCGAACTCACGGCTCGGCAGAGGGGTTTTTTTTCCTCTAAACCCCCAATCTTCTTCGTGTTTTTTTATATTTTTTTAAGCTTAAATGTGGCCTCTTCCAGCTCCTGCCCCGTGCCCGTGGTGGCACAGAGTCCTCCTGGCAGCCGGGGCGCTGGGGCACCTGGTGCTGCTGGTGCTGGTGGTGGTCCTGAGCGCGAGGGGTGAGTAACCAGCTCTTATCTCCACCTCACACCCCGGCGAGGAGAGGCCTGGGAGCGGAAATCTGGGTTTGTTGCAGCGGCTCGGGCCCCGGAGGGTTGGTGCAGACACCAGAGCCAAGAGTAAAAACCCCTCTGGGCACATCTGGATCATCCCCAGAATGAGGGAGGAGGGCAAAGCCCGTGGGATTCAGGGCAACTTCATTAGGGGCAAAACTCGCCCTGGCTTTGTGGGGTTTGTGGTTTGGCTTCAGCTCCTCACCCCGGGTCTCTGCTCCCAGTTTTTCAGGGCTCTCCAGGTCCTGAAAGTGACACCAGAGTCGAGATCCAGGACAGGAACCAGTCGGAGCAAAGCATCTTCCCATCCCTGGTGCGGTACCTCTGCCAGCCCCAGGGGCAGAGCCCCCCAGGTGAGACCCCTTCCCCACCTGGCTCTGCTGGGAGAGGCTCAGGTGGGACCTTGGGGAGCTTCTGTCTCCTGCACCGAGGGTTCTCTGGCAAAAAGGAGCATTTTTAAGGAAGAATTTTCTCTTTTCCGTGCGATTTTTTGGCGGTCCCTGGAGGAGCAGGGTCAGCCCAAGGGGGGATGTTTCTCACCACCCTTCCTCCTCCCCAAACACCCACTGTGCCCTTATGGTCACCCAACTTCTTCCTCCTCCTCTTCTTCCCCCTCTTCTTCCTCCTCCTCCGTGGTGGCAGAGCAGAAAAACCACAACACTGAGAAATAACTCGAGGGTTGATGCCTCGATTTGGGGGGTTGGAGAAGACCTTGCTCACCTTTGGGGTGTCTCATTCGTGGCCTTTCCTCCTCCCCAGCCCCTGCTGGCTGCAAGTTGTGCCCCCAGGACTGGCAGCTCCATGGGGAGAGGTGCTACCGGCTCTCCAAGGAATCTGGGACCTGGATCCAGGGCAGGAAAAGCTGCGAAGATCAGGGCTCCGAGCTGGTGGTGCTCAAGAACGAGGCAGAAATGGTAAAATAGGGAGGAAAAGGCTTGGAAAGGACAAGAAGTTCTGGGTTTTTAGGGGGGCAAAGGCTCCCAGCAGCAGGAGGGTTTGGGGTTCAGAGCACGGGGCCGCTCGTGTCCCACGGATTTGGGGGGTCAGGTTTGTTCATGGAACTCCCCACAGAGAGATTTTTTGGAGCAACTGGTCCCTTCCACGTCCCAGGAGAGTGTCACAGGCAGGATCCTGCAGTCGGTGTGGGTCGGGTTGAGGTCACAACAAAAGAAGTGGACGTGGGTGGACAACACCCCCTACGACCCCCACAGGTGAGTGTCCGAGGTCTGGGGGGGTAAAAAAGCAGCTTTGGTCCGTTTGAGACCCCGATCCACGTCCACACATCGCTGGGGGCCATGCAGGGGGCTCTGATTCCTCTGGAAACACTCTGCAGACCCAGAGTCGGGGCCCTGGGGCACATTTGGGGTTGGTTATGGGGCACATTGGGGTTATGGGGCACGTTGGGGGGACGGAGCACGTTGGGGTCATTTATGGGGCAATAAACCCTTTGTTGTGCAGGTTTGGGGTCCTGCCGGAGCTGGATGAAGGGTGTGGGACCCTGAAAGGCAAGAGCTTGGATGCTGATGTCTGTGACAATGACAACAAGTGGGTTTGCCAAAAAGCCCCTTTCCAACTCTCCCTGCCCACGGCAGGAGACATTGGGAAGCTGGATGATGCCTCCACATGTGGTATAAAAAAATAATTCATTACAGTTCTTTCATGGTTTATCCACCCTGTTACATCAGCAGTAAATTCCTGTCAGTAGCTTTTCTCTATATCCACTTTTTAGTTATTCATTCTCTGCCCAGGAGAAAAATACTCCCAAACAATTTCCCCCCCACATGGATTTATCACCACATCTGTATTTATCTTGCCAAATTCCCCTTGAGTTTCTTCCAGACTCATATAATCTCAGTCCCTACACTTAAGTGTTAATTTTATGCTTTTATATTACTACAGATAACAATAAGCCAAGCAGCTCCATCCCTGCTTTCCTTTGCAGCCAAACTGTCCTAAAATAAACACACATATTCCAACACCTGTCCCTTCAGTGTCTTTGCTCTAAACCCACCCCACGGGAGCCAAGAGTGACGGGTCAAAGAACCATTTAGCCCCGTCCTCAATGGGTGACACTGACGGGGGGAACTGGCGGTTCTGTGAGGGGGGTTTTGTGAGGGCGACTCTGTGAGGGCATCTCTATGATGGAGGTTCTGTGAGGGCAGTTCTGTGATGGCAGTTCTGTGAGGGTGACTCTGTGAGGGCAACTCTTTGATGGCGTCTCTGTGAGGGCGACTCTGTGAGGGCAGTTCTGTAAGGGAGGTTCTGTGAGGGAGGTTCTGTGAGGGTGAGTCTGTGAGGGTGACTCTGTGATGGCGACTCCGAGTGCGACTCCGTGAGGGCAGTTCTGTGAGGGTGACTCTGTGAGGGAGGTTCTGTGAGGGCAGTTCTGTGAGGGCAGTTTTGTGAGGGCGATTTTGTGATGGCGATTCTATGAGGGTGGTTCTGTGAGGGTGACTCTGTGATGGAGGTTCTGTGAGGGCAATTCTGTGAGGGCAACTCTGTGAGGGTGACTCTGCGAGGGTGATTCTGTGATGGCGACTCTGTGAGAGCAACTCTGTGAGGGCGACTGTGAGGGTGATTCTGTGAGGGTGACTCTATAAGGGCAGTTCTGTGAGGGCAGTTCTGTTAGGGAGGTTCTGTGAGGGTGATTCTGTGAGGGCAGTTCTGAGGGCAACGCTGTGAGGGCAACGCTGTGAGGGCAGTTCTGTGAGGGCGACTCTGTGAGGGCGATTCTGTGAGGGCAGTTCTGTGAGGGTGATTCTGTGAGGGCGATTCTGTGAGGGCAGTTCTGTGAGGGTGATTCTGTGAGGGCAGTTTCTTGAGGGTGACTCTTTGAGGGCAGTTCTGTGAGGGCGACTCTGTGAGGGCGAGTCTGTGATGGCGACTGTGAGAGCGACTCTGTGAGTGCAGTTCTGTGAGGGTAGTTCTATGAAGGCAACTGTGAGGGCGACTCTGAGGGCAGTTTTGTGAGGGCGATTTTGTGACGGCGATTCTATGAGGGTGGTTCTGTGAGGGCGATACTGTGAGGGCAGTTCCTTGAGGGTGACTCTGTGAGGGCAGTTCTCTGAGGGCGACTCTGTGAGGGCGACTCTGTGAGGGCAACTCTATGAGGGCGATTTTGTGAGGGCGATTCTATGAGGGTGATTCTGTGAGGACGATTCTGTGAGGGCGACTCTGTGAGGCCGTTCCGCCATCTTGGCTCCCTCAGGACAAACGTGGCTGCCCCGGCACCCGCGGACGATCCCTCAGGCCTTTCCCCTCCCGCAGCTCCCGCACCCACCAGGACACGAGAGACAGTGCTGAGGCCGTACAAACTTTAATACAAATGAGTAAAAAAGGAGAAGGAGAGAAGCACAGCAGCGGCACTGATACAGTAAGTCTGCTGAGACCACAATCAGGACACTGTACATTTACATTGACAGATTCATACAGTGTTCAGCAGCGGATAAACACTTCACGTGTGCACATTCAAGCACTATAGTGCTTGATATTATTAATCTGCGCTGTTAAGGTGTAAATATATAGCCATAGAGAATGAGGCTTCTGGAGAAAGAAACCCACAGTCTACTAAGGCGCACGTCACTTCCGCATCATTTTCCTACAGGTCCATCTCCTTGAGATCAGCTGCTTAGGAAACAATGACAAAAGGCACCGAGGTTACTGAGGTAGCGCTGAGATCTGTCACAAAGCAAATGTTCATCTGCAGAAGGACATCTCTGCACCAGTGGAAGAAGGAAAGCTGCGAGTCTTCAGGATGGAGAAGGTCCTTTCTCCTTCACTTCTATTACAGTTGAGGTTGGGGTTTGCTGCAGAGATACGGCAGCTGCTTTGAACAGTCCTCACTCCTGAGTACATTGTCTGCCAGGTACACACACTCTGAATTGCCAAGGACCTCCAGCCTGCAATGAGGAGCAGAGACAGCGCTGGCACAGGGCAGGTCTGTTAACAGGACAGGTCGTCTCTGCCCATTTCCCCCAGCACATGAGGAGACAAGCACAAGGAAGGACAGTCCCAGCAGCCTCATCCCCCCATCCCCTGCCCGTCCCCCCGGGACTCACGAGGAGTTGTACCTGCTGCCATCCACCCACTGGAACCTCTCGCCCCGTCTGCGCAGCCCAAGCCAGTAATCCAGGTTGTCCTTGAGGCGGAAGAGGAAGCGCTGGGAGGGAGAGAGGAGCGGGCAGTGAGAGCTGCTCTGGGCCAGGAACCCCCCCCAGCCTCCCCTGTGCCACCCACACCCCCCCCAGAGCCCCTCACTCACCATTTCCCTGTCGCTGAGCACGGCCAGGGAGGCCCCGAGCTCGGAGCACCGATTCTGAGCCTGCTCCCAGCTCCTCCAGTCCAGTGAGAGATAGTAACAGACCCTCTTGTACCCGACCCAGTCGTCGGGACAGGCCAGAAACTGTGGACCCTTAGGTGTAACTGGATTCTCTCCATGTCTTCCTACTGGAGAGAGAAAGGGAGAACGTCTGAGGATTCCCCTCCACAGGGAGCCCAACCCTGTGCCCAGAGCTGCCTCTGTGCCAAGGCAGCTGCTCCTTCCTCACCTGCCAGCACAGCCACAGCCACCACCAAAGCCAGGAGCACGAGCACAGACAGCAGCACAGACAGCACGGTGCACACTGGGTGGGACCTGAACCAATCGCCTGGAGGAGGAAAGAGCACGAGCAGAGCATGAGACCTCTTCCACACCCCTGGAGCAGCCTCACACCTGCCAGCCCTGCCCTGGTGGGGTGACACTGTCCCTTCCCTACAGGACACAGGTGCCCCTGCACTCACCCAGATGTTTTCTGAGGGTCTTCCTTGTTTCTGTTCCATCCCGGAGACTCAGGGACTCCTCTGCATTCTCACCATTATTCCAGTTGGAAGAGGCATCTTCCTGACCGGGACAAGGTGCATCTCGAACCTGAGCCATCGCTAGGGGTGAAAAAACCCCTCTTTTAGTGCAGACCCAGGGGCTCCTCCACAATCCTGTCCCCGGAGCAGAATCCACCCTCCACATCCACACACATTCCAAACTTATGAGCGCCGCCTCTCTGCTTGTGACAAGCTGCAACTCGAGGAATCAACAAACCCTCTTTTAGCCCAGGTTTGGGGGTGGTCTTACCACTGCTGTTTTGGCAGACCGGAGAGACCATGATGAGAGGACACGGCTGGGCCCTGAGGGACACTCGGGCTCAGGAAGGCGATGCCAGCAAAGTCCTGCCCTGCGGGACACACGGGCTCAGGAAGGCGATCCCAGCAAAGTCCTGCCCTGTCCGTACACGGCGACCTGTGGAGAACAAACGGGAGCTCAGGGTCCGGCTCCTGCAGCCTCAGCCCCAGTCCTCGGTCCCCTCACGGGCCCTTCCCAGCCCGGGAACAGCCCCTGCCCTGGCAGTTTGGAGCATTTCCAGGAAAGGATTCTGTTTACTGGCTGGGATACACTAGTTTATGAAAGGGAGGTGGTTACACCACTGTGCAAGTTCGGCCTCTCACAGAATCATCGACCAGGTTGGAAAAGACCTCCGAGATCACCAAGTCCAACCCTTGATCCAACCCCGCCGTGCTTCCCACACCATGGCACTGATGCCACATCCAGCCTCACCTTCAACACCGCCAGGGACGGTGACTCCAGCCCCTCCCTGGGCAGCCCATTCCAATGCCTGATACTCACTCTGCAAAGAATTCCCTCCTAATATCCAACCTAAAACTCTCTTGGCACAGGAGAGGTGGCTCCTGGCACACCCCCAATAGACCGCGCCCTCTTTTTCTACTGCTGGTTGCCTGGGAGAAGAGCCCGAAGCCCACCCGGCTCCCCCCTCCTGTCAGGGAGTTGTAGAGAGTGAGGAGGTCTCCCCTGAGCCTCCTCCTCTCCAGGTTGAGCCCCCCCAGCTCCCTCAGCCTCTCCTCGCAGGACCCATGTTCTCACTGCGTTAGGGAACAATTTGGGCCTAACGGGACCTTAAATCCACCCTTTAAAACGCGCGGGGGGGGGGGACACCAAACCGCCAGAACCCCCGAGCGCCTCCAGCCCCAGGAGAAGCGAGCGCGGGTCCCACCTGCGCCGGGGCCGCGTCCGAGCTCCGCCGCCGCCTCACCGGTGTCCGGACACCGCCATCGCTCCTGGTGCTGCCAGGACTGAGGATTCCGTGGGCCACTCCATGGACTTCTTCCTGGGCGGGACTTACCCTCACGGCTCTGACCAATCAGCGCGGGGGACAAGAGTGACGAGACCAATAGTTAATGGCGAGGCTTTGGCCCCGCCCACAGCGGGTGCCGCTGATTGGTGGAACCGTGAGGGCGTTCCGCCATCTTGGCTCCCTCGGGGCGGACGGGGCAATCCCGACACCCGCGGACGGTTCCTCGGGTCTTTCTCCTCCTGCAGCTCCCGCACACACCAGGACACGAGAGACAGTGCTGGGGCTCTACAAACTTTAATATAAAAAAAGGAGAAGGAGAGAGAAGCACAGCAGAGGCACTGATACAGTGAGTCTGCTGAGGCCATGATCAGGACACTCTACATTTACATTGACAGATTCATACAGTGTTCAGCAGCGGATAAACACTTCACGTGCGCACATTCAAGCACTATAGTGCTTGATGTTATTAATCTGAACTGTTAAGGTGTAAATATATAGCCATAGAGAATGAGGCTTCTGGAGAAAGAAACCCACAGTCTACTAAGGTGCACGTCACTTCCGCATCATTTTCCTATAGGTCCATCTCCTTGAGATCAGCAACTGAGGTGACAATGACAAAAGGCACTAAGGTTACTGAGGTAGTGCTGAGATGTGTCACAAAGCAAATGTTCATCTATGGAAACGCATTCCTGGGCTAGTGGAAGAGGGAAAGCTGTGAGTCTACAGGATGGAGAAGGTCCTTTCTCCTTCACTTCCATTATAGGTGAGGTTGGGGTTTGCTGGGGGAAACCTCCCCCTGTCCCACTCCGTCCCCCCCTCCTGAGTCCCCCCTTCCAGGGAGAAACAGACAGGGGGGAGGGAAAGGGGGGACAGTGGGAAAACGGGACACGAGGGAAAAAAATTCCACCGTCTCTTTTCAAACCCAGGACAATATTAAACAGGACTGGGCCCGATGCTGATCCCTGGGGGACACCACTGGTGACCAGATCCCGACTGGATGCAGCTCCATTCCCACCACTCTCTGGGCCCATCATTCCAGCCAGTTCCTAACCCAGCACAGAGGCCCCTGTCCAGGCCATGGGCTGCAGCTTTTCCAGGAGTGTGCCGTGGGTGATAGTGTCCAAGGTTTTGCTGGAGGACCTTTCAAAGCTGGAGCTGTTCCAGGGCAGGGTCAGGTTGGATCCCAGGAAAAGGTTCTTCCCCCAGAGGCTGGTTGGGCACAGCCCCAAGGCTGCCAGAGCTCCAGGAGGGTTTGGATGATCCTCTGGGGCCCAGGGGGGGACTCCTGGGGATGGTTCTGGGCAGGGCTGAGGGTTGGACTCCATGATCCTTGTGAGGTCCTTTCCAATGCAACATATTTTTGGATTCAGTCAATATTTCCCAGCCAGACAACCGGAATGTTCCCCCAGCAGTTCCATTTGCAGTGCTGGGGTGAAGCTCCCTCATCTGGTGGGAGATTTAGGCTGAAAGTCCTAGGGAGTTTTGGGCTCTCTTAATTTCCCCCTCCACGTGACATATTCATTGGGGCGGCTGCAGATCCAGTTCTTCTCCGTGTGGCACAGGGACGAGCTGATCCACGCCTGGTTCAGGTACCCACAGGGCCCCCCACCCCTCACCTCAAACCTGCAAATGCCAACGGGACCAGAGTCAGAAAGGGAAAAGGAAAAGAAGGAAACTTCCCCCCAAAATTAAGAAGAGCTGGGAGAGAAAGGGTTTGGCTGGGGGGGG